GGTGAAGAGGAGTCTCTTCTGTTCGTCTGGTCAGAAGGAGCCCTTGAATTTACCGATGGTGCGGATGCTCTGAGGCCTTTCACACTCTACGAATACCAGGTCAGAGCCAGTAACTCCAGGGGTTCCGTGGAGAGTCTGTGGTCATCAGCACGGACTCTGGAAGCACCACCTCAAGATGTGCCAGCTCCTTGGGCTCAGGCCACCAGTGCCCACTCAGTTCTGCTGAATTGGACAAAGCCAGACTCTCCCAATGGCATTATCTTCCAGTACCGTGTGGTCTACCAAGAGAAACCTGATGATCCAACATTTAACAGCTCTACCGTGCATGCTTTCACAGTGATGGTAAGAACTTCAAAAAAATAATGGATGCTCAGATTACCTGTTTAATTGTTAAAATTCATTTTCTTATCTCTATTTTTCTTCACATAGGGCTTAAATATATAAAAGTCTTTTGCATGTGCAAAGACTCAGTGTAGTCATGGGGACAAGATACTGAACTGTGCAAGAGAAATACTGGGGACTAGTTTGCAGACCCCAACTGATTTGTATTACCTCAAGCAAATAAATGAACCTCTCCTCACCTGATTTCCATTTTCCATATCCATTGAATAGGAATAATTCAGTGTGTCCCTACATACATCATAGGGATGAGGTTCAGATAAAATTAGACAGGATATTTAATTTTCTACTTTTTCAAAGATCTAATGAGATATATGAGGCTACTTCAAAAAGTTTCTAGAAAAATACTATGAGAAGATAATGCAAATCTTTCCAGGAACTTTTTGAAGACCCCCATATACAATCATGAGTTGTTTAATGATTGGGATATGTTCTGAGAAATGCATCGTTAGGTGATTTCACCATTGTGCAAACATCATACAGTGCACTTACCCAAACCGAGATGATAGAGCCTACTACACACCTAGGCTGTATGGTATAGCCATCATGATATATGCAGTCCAGTCACATGCATTATAGCTTAGTGGTGATTTTTTTCTGGGCTGGCTTCCTTTGGCCCATAAAACAACTTAATTCAGTTTTCGTATGGTCACCTAGTATCTCACGAGAGCTTTTTTGGTGGCCAGAGTAGCCTGGTGTTCTGTAGGAGATACAGAAACCGTATGGTTCTTTTCTCAGGGAGCATTCACTTTTATAATTCACTTTTATAATTGCAGAGATGAGAATTGCACATAAGGAAAAAATAAGAGAAGTGATCAGGTACAGCCTATACTAGGACTTTGATCCCAAACTCTACCACCTACTAGTCATAAACCTGAATACGAGAGTAATATAATATATCAAAGGTGTTTAGACAAGAAATGTCCTAGGAGGTCAGCGGGAAACCCTCATCCCTAAGAAGCTTCATAGAGAAGGTGAAATTTTGTGGTCTTGGGAGTTAAAAACATATGATTTTCAAAATGTGTCAAGACTTTATTAAATATAGGGGCCAGCCCGGTGGCGCACTGCTATAGTGCGCCGCTTGGGAAGC